TTTGGTTCACTTGATCATCTTATACTGTTCCCCACGAGAACCTTCCTCTCCAGACACAGATCGATGTTAACCGTATTTCTTAATGCTATGCTCATTCCTTCTCTTAGGCTTTTAACTGATATTTCCCCAACCTCCTAGAGTGCCACCCATTCTCCTTTCCACTTAACCAACCTTTTATAAGGCCCCTGGGTCACGAGAATGGTTGTGTTTGACTGGTAACCGAAAGGCTGGTGGTTTGAATCCTCAGTTCTACTTCAAAAGAAAAAGCCTGGTGATTTGTTTCAATAAAAATTACAGCCAAGGCAAGCTCTGGTGGCCTAGTGGCAAGAAGCTGCACTGCAACCTCAGAGGTACCCGGTTCGAATCCACCAGATGCTCTGCTGGAGAAAGAGGATCTATCTCCTCCTGTATCAATCAGATCTGATTTGATGATACACAAAAAAAGTAATAAAATAAAATAAAAATTTAAAAAAAGATTACAGCCAAGATAATCTCTGCAGTTTTACAGCCAAGATAATCTCTGCAGTTCTACTCTCATAACACATAGGTTCACCATGAGCCAGAATCAACTCAATTACAAGACAATACCAACAATGTTTATTCCTCCTTCAAAGCCTGTTCAAGCCTTCCTTCACCCAGAAGTAATCCACACCATGTTCAATCCAAGCTCAGCCCCCATTCTCGCGGCCTCTCACAGTATGTCTTAGCTGGAGCACATGTTCAGGCATAACCATATCCTTTAGTTTCTTTTTTGCATTTCTTATTTCCAAGGGTCATGGGGAGCATGGCCTATATTTTTTCTGCTTTTATAAGAAGTTTGCCCACAGGCACATGTTGAATGGAATAAAGAGGTGCTACAGCTTTTGTTTTAATGTCAGATGGGTGGTGCTACAGCTTTTAAGAAAAACGTTCCCATACAAAAATTCAGGTGCAGGTAGGTTCAAGTCTCCTGGTCCACCACAGCCAGCTAGTGAGGGGAATACTAAAGGTTAAGCCAGACTTACTCATTGCAAATACGTTTTTTAAGAGACATAAACGCAGGTTATACACATGGATTTCACCTGCTGGTATGTACAGGAATCAGATCGATTACATCGGTGTGAAAAAACCGCTGGAGAAGCTCAGTATCAGCTGTAAAAACTAGGCCAGGACCTGACTGTGGAACAGACCACCAACTACTTAAATGCTAGTTCAAGCTGAAGCTGAGGAAAACTATACTGAATCCATGGGAACCAAAATATGACTGTGAGTCTATCCCACCTGAATTTCAGAACCATCTCAAGAACAGGTTCGAGGCCTTGAACACTAATGAGCGAAGACCAGATGAGATGTGGGAGGATATCAAAGATATCATCCAGGACGAGTGCAAACGGTCATTGCAAAGACAGAAGAGGAAGAAAAGACCAAAATGGATGTCAGAAGAGACTCTGAATGTTGCACTGGAGTGCAGACGCCAAAGCAGAAGGAAGAATTCAAGATACTAAAGAGCTGAATAGATTTCAAAAGGCAGCGCAGGATGACAAAGTAAAATATTACAATGAAATATGCAAGAGTTGGAGTCAGAAAATAAAAAAGGCTGAACTCGCTCAGCATTTCTTAAGCTCAAGGAACTAAAGAACAAATTCAAACCTCGAGTTGCTATAACCAAGGATGCTTTAGGTAGAATATTAAATGATCTGGGAAGTATTAAAAGAAGATGGAAAGAATATACTGAGTCACTATATCAAAAGGAATTGGCAGACACAGAAGAATTTCATGAAACAACATATAAGCAAGAGCCTATGGTGATGAAGGAAGAAGTCCAGGCTGCTTTGAAGGAAATGGCAAAAAATAAGGCTCCAGGAATAGATGGTATACCAATTGACATATTTCAGCTAACAGATGCTGCCCTGGACGTGCTTACCAAGGTGTGCCAAGAAATCTGGAGAACAACCACTTGGCCAACT